CTTGCCCCCTACCCCCCCCCACCCCTCCCAGGAAAGCTGCAGTCCTTCAGGGCGCTGCTGAACAGGTTTTCTCCCAGAGCCTGAGAATGTTCCTCACAGTCAAGGCCCTCACCCTCTCTCTGTGAGCCTGCTCCCTCCCTTGTCCTTGGAGAAGGTAGGAGGAAGCCCCCTTGTCAGAAAGCGCTTCCTTATCTCTGACCTTCCTGGCTGGAGTCAAGCGGGGCATTTGAGGGAGAAATACTGCTCTGAATAACGCCATTGACTTCTGCCTCATGGTTGGAGGAAAAACAGCCCGGCACTCACTGAACACTACCTGGGCAAGTGGCTGTGGAGAAATGTCTGAGTTGGTGGCACTGCCTATTCCTCACAGCCGCTACCTCCTCCTGCGGATGCCAAGACACACTGGGGGGCAAACAGAGGGACTCCACGGGGAAAGCTGATGCCACAGTTAAATATCTCAACATGACAATCTACTAAATGCGTGCCTTGCATGGGTCTTGGTTAGATGATACGATGTCTTTATACTATGAATTATGATATATGAAATATTATTATTATTGATACTGGTTGCCTGTTCTATTTTTATTTATTCCAGTATCCTTACCTTTCACCTTTCTCCCCCAATGGAACATTATACCTCCAACTGAAGATGCAAGTATATGGAATCATAAAAGGAGATGAAACTTACATTAATCAATTGACGCTTAGTAGCATCCCTAATACAAAATGTGCTAGCAAAAGAAAATTGATTGGATACTACATAATTTTTTATTATCTTTCATCAAGTTTAACCTGCTCTTATAATCAGCATGAAACACAGCTATAATGTTCTTGTAAAGCCCTGTTTTATAACTACTTGCCTTAAGGTGATTGGCTAGAGAGCAAAAGGATGGAGTGGAATTACGATGTGGGACTACATTTGGGATTCCACGGAGATTCTGTTTAAAGTCAGGAGAGCTTTCTGGTAAGGGGCTTCCTTACACTCATCCAGGGCAGAGCTGGGGGTCTCCTCGGGGCTTTCGCAGCTGCTGACAATGGCGACGGCACTAAATGACCTTCTCCTGACCTTGGTGTCTGACAGGCCGGATCCTCGGCCTCCGGAGGCCTTTTCCATGTTGTGGAGCTGCTGGTCCTTCCAGTCCAGTTGTTTGGCACTGCAAAAGGGGGCGTAGACCTCCACGCTCCCCTCGAACTGTAAGCAGTTCACTTTGTAGTACTTTCTCTTCACCTCCAAGACATCGTTGAACCTGTGACCCCAGAGGATCTCCCGGGGGACGTAGGAACTTCGGGATTGGTGGGAGGTCCCCGTGGAATCGCCCGTGTAGATGAATGTCACCAAAATCTCAAAGTTGTCCTTGGCCACTGCCTTCCGGTCCAGGGAGTACAGAGGGCTCTCATGGTCGATTTCATGAACAATGGTGACCGGCGTGACAAGGATAATCTGGTCATTGACCAACTTGAGGTCTTTAAAGGCCATTGTCATGCGGCCCTCGCTGTCTTCTGTGTAGCGGAGCAGCTGGGCCCGCACGGTGCCTTCCACCACATGGTTGGGCCGGAAGTCCCCGATCCGCCACATGAGGCAGAGTTTCCCATCTCTCATGCCGATGAGGGCGAAGTAGCTGAAGCGGATGGTTTGGGCTCTCTTCCGGGCCGTTGCCATCTTGGCCAAGGCCGCTCCGATGATGAAGGTATTGATGATGCAGCTGAGGATGGACTGGAGGATGACGGTGAGCACGGCCACTGAGCACTCCTCGGTGACACAGCGGTAGCCGTAGCCAATGGTGGTCTGGGTCTCCAGGGAGAATAAAAAGGCACCCGTGAAAGAATGGACGTTGTCAACACAGGGCGTGATGTCTGGGTTATTCAACAGGTCTCCGTGGTGAAACGCGATCAGCCAAAAGATGGAGCCAAAGATCAGCCAGGAGAGGATGTAAGACAAGGAGAAGATGACGAACATGTGGCGCCACTTGGTGTCGACCAGGGTGGTGAAGATGTCCACCACGTAGCTCCCCCACTCCCCGAAGATGTGCTTGAAGTACACGTTGCAGCTGCCGTCTTTGTGCAGCAGCCGCCGGCGAGCCCGCCTCTTCTCCGCGATGATGTGCTCCGGGGGGTAACCCGGGTACTTGGGGTCCACATTCACGATCGGGTAGCTGCTGCCGTAGTAGCTCATTCTTGCCGACGGCCTGCAGGCATCCAGGTGAGTTTTGTAGCAGAAATAGTTCAAGGCCAGTTGCTTTCTGTTGGTTTGGGCTTCCAGTTAAAACCTGCAAAAAAAAAAAAAGATACTCACTTTAGCTTTAATTTCTATCTTTATAGTAACTTGCCAAATGTGAAGCAATGCTATGCCAAACCAGATAGCTAAGACTTGGTTTGAACGCCAGAAATGCTCAGTATGGATTACTCATTGGAGTTTACTAGTAGGATTCAACTCAGCCATTGTAGGAACAAGATAGGAATTAGAGAAAATAACATTTTTATAAATGCATAAACATTATGATTATCCCAAAGGAAGCCTCAATACTTTTTCTGAACCAATGTAAAAAAACATTGTCTCATTTTTATAGCCTCCTTTGGCATGAAGGCATTTAGAAAACAAAACAATCGATAAGGCAAAAAGGCAGACTATGGCTCAGATATTTATCTAGCAGTCTTAGGAGCTTTCTAGCTGTTCAAATCAGGTGGTTTTCCTTAGAAGAAAGCAATTAGAGTTCCCACCTCAGTGTTATAATGTAACTTACACGAGGGTGGCTATGATATAGTCCCTCACCTTGGGCTCCTGATGCTTCCTCTCTTCCAGGCCGTTCCTCTTCCTGGTGTCCTCCCGGACAGGACAGCACAGAGCTGACTGGAACAGTAGTTCAGATTCAACTCCTTTACCCTACTTCTACCTTTACTCTTGAGAGGGAAAAAAAATCTTTCTTAACCCCAGCGGAGTCACAACCCTCCCAGTCCGGCTTCCAATAAGGTATAAAATTGCTGTGCCTTTGTCTCCTAACACCCATCCTTTTTTTTCTCTCTCTTCTTTTTTGGCACTGAAAGCTCTTCTCTTTCTCTCTGAATAGAAGCCCGAAAATTTGCCAAAGTTGCTAATTTTATTTCCCTCTTAAAGGGAGCACACTCACACCCACTCCTCCTTCCCGAGGCTCTCACAGTCATCCCCAGGCAAAACCATCTCTGTCCCTCCAAATCCAGTCTTTAAAAAAACACACATCCATACAGAACATACAGTTCCTATCGCTGTTAGCATTCACGGTCTAGGCCAAAGGTTTTCCTGAGAGCAAGTTTTAGAAATCCAGTGTTGAATGGCCTTTAGTTACTTCTGGAAGAAATGAAGACGCCCCTGCAGCCCACTTTACGGGAGTGTGTTTTCCACTCAGCCTACCTGTGCTGGGCCGGGGGAGGGAGCGTCAGAAGGAGGGGGCACTTGCGAGGACCCTGCCACTCTCTGCACTGAGAGATGCAGCCGGAGTCATTACTATTCCTGCCATGGAGACCCCCCCACCCCCACCACTGAACTCAACCGAGGAAACGGATCACTAAGGATTTGTCCGGCACCTCCCAGCTGCCAAAGCGAGGAAAGAGTTAATTTCCCTCCAGTCACAAGGAATCATTTTTCCTCCTCTCCAGGGATCAGGCCCACTTTACAATAAACACTTTGTTCGATGGACCACTGTGGGGATGGACACTCGGCCAAAAAATCCCGCAAGGCATGGAGGAGTGTCTCTCTGTCCGCCCATCCACCCGCCGCCGATCACTTCACCGACCCGCCTGTTTTGAGTAGCCCTC